TTAATACTCAGCACGTCTGACAGCATGATCTGAGAGAGAAACAGCATGTAAATACCTCTTATCCACACTGAACCTCAGCTCAGCAACTTCAGGCTGTACACAGCCACACTGCCTCCCTCTACACCTCTCCCCCCGGTTACCCTTGGACAAAAGACACTTGGTGGCACGAAGCGCCAAGCTAGCCCCATTGATTAGGGTTCAGGGATTAGGGGACACAGCCCCACAGTCCCAACATTTCAGAAATTCTACTCTCTGAGAGTGGTAGAAGTATGGAGCTCTCTTTCAGAGATGGTAGCTGCCACTTGGAATTGTCTGTTTTTAAATGTGAAACTGGTACATTCTTAGGCAGAGATATGAAGTGATAAAATGACATGAAGATGGATCACCAATCAACAATGATCTCGTGAAATGCTTGCACAGGCTCAAGGGGCTGAATGGCTATTGTTGTTCCTGTGCCCTCAAAAGTGGAGGTACCATGTGCTGTCACACACTGAACCATCCAGTATGACCTCTGCCCGGATCCAATCTGACGTAGACATACGCCAGCTGAAGCCTCCCAAGAGGAGCTGCTGGCAATCCCCATTACGCAGCATTGCAAATTTGTACATTTTATAAACCCTTTCTGCAGTGCAATGCTAAGACGTGATTAACCACAATACAAGTATTTTGTTCTGGCTTTGGAAATTATTAGTTTTCACAAAGTCATTTATGTCTCAGCAGCCGGTAACAGAAACCACAAAGCATTTAACCCTTCCTGTGACATGATTCAGTGAATCTTACTGGGACTCAGGTTACTGACAGTGCAGCCAAAAGCACAATTTTCCAGGTTACCCACGTTAGCTTTCAATTCCATATTTGACTGGTTGAATTCAAATTCGACTTACTGCCGCGGTGAGATTTGAACACATAGAAGCTTCTGCATCACTAGCTAAGGTACACCACCATCTCTCCTGTTAGTAGAAGGAGTGAATCTGGAAATTTGAACCTTGACTGAGTGAAAAGCACACCGAAGCTGGACTGAGTGGATGTCATTGACTGGAAATGTTCAGTCTGTCTCACTGTGCAGAGAAGTTGCCTTCTCTGCTGTTTGTTTTGCTTATGGGGGGGTGGAGTGGGATTTCCCTGCCCAGTTAGCAGCCTCAGTACGATATATCAGAAATTAAAGTTCGACATAGAGTGAAAGGGTGAAGAGTGAAAACAGGGAAAGCAAAGATCAAATGGGGAAAGACTGAGAACGTCATACAGACTGACTCCTGCTTGCTGTGAATCAGCACATGTCTGTACAGTGGTGCCAGAAGGCACTATCTGAACAGAGCTCTCCAAGTTTTTATTTTACATTGTTCTTTTTATAGATGTTAAAAAGTTTTGTTTAGTAGTAATAATTTGCAGTACTAATTCACTGGTGACAATTGAGTTGGTTTTATTACGACTGAGGTAACATTTTCTCACAGGGCCATAGATACGGGGGAGCACCAGTGATCTCCCTGTGCTCAGTGTGTTTCTCCACTCCTTCATGGGTTGCTGTGGTCTCACTGTCATAAGGATGTCTGACATGTAGCGTAAATGAATCTTTTGATGTGATCAAACGTCAACTCTCAGACCCATCAGACGTTATGCAACCACAACAGTCTCTGTGACCCAGCATTCAGCTTCTATTCTTCTGTATATTCAAGACTGCTTGTTTCCACCTCTGTAACATTGCCTGCCTCCAATCCCATCTCATGCTGCTGCCTCTGAAAATTCATAAACACACATTTGTCTCTAACCTTGCTCGACATCTTCCATAAACTCCAGGCAACACATGATTCTGTCTCCTGTATTTATTGAAAGGCAGTTTTGTTCCCCCTTTTGTCTTATCTAGTTTCTGATTCTGAAAATAATACACAATTAAAGCAGTTGAAGTTTTTAATTCCATTTAGTGTTGTGTCCGAGAGAGGCATGTAGCAAATTTAGTGAGCACAGTCCAGATTAAACAGATGCTCTGTTGCCCTCTGCCGGTTAAACATAAAATAGTGCTCAGTATTTTTAGTATACCTTAAATGACCATAACAATACTATGCAGCACTTTTGTGAATCAACAGGTGAAAGAGTGGGAGGAGCTTTTTTAAAAAAAAACACCTACCAGGGAAAGGGCAGGTCCTGCTGGACGCCATCTGTAGCTCTTCAAAGAAGCAGCTTCAGAAATGGTAGATGGATTAGTTTTAATTTTCCAAAAATTCCCTATATTTTGGAAAGCAGATTCAAATACAGCAGATTCAAATACAGCAGATACAACTCCTGTATTTCAGACAGGAAGGAGACAAAAGCTGGAAACTACAGTTAGCATAACACCTACCATGGGGAAGATGCTGGAATCTATTATTAGGAAAATTAAAGTAGGACATTTTGAAAATAACAGTGCAATTGGGCAGAGTCAACCTGGTTTTGTCTGATTAATTTATTAAAATTCTTTGAAGCTGTAATGAGTGATGTGGATAATGGGGAAGCCTGGTAGATGTGGTGTACTTGGATTTCCAGACCTCACTTTAATAAAAAGTCTCACATCAAAGGTTGCTGGGTAAAGGATGTGCTGACTGTGCAGGAGATAATTCATGAGCACAGCTAGTGGATCGGTTAGCCAATGGGAAGCAGAGATTGGGCAGAAATAAGATGTAGGTGAGACTCTTGGGTTTCTCAGCACCTGAATCACAAGAAGTTAACATGCAGGAAAACAAGCGATTAGGAAAGCAAATTAACATGTTAGGGTTTTGTTACAAAGGACGAGGAGCACAAGAATAAAGTCTAACTGCCTTGGTAAGATGACAGCTGAAGTACTGTGTGCAGTTCAGGATCTTTCCCTAAGAAGGGTAGCCTAGCTTAGGAAGGTTCACTAGACTGATTCCTGGGAAGCGGAGATAGCCCAGTGAAGAGCGGTTGAATGGAGTATCGAAGAATGAAAGGAGATCATATTGAAGCATAGTTTTATTCAGGTGCTCAGTCAGGTCAGTGCAGGGGAGTGTTTGCCTTGACTGGGGAGGCTGGAATTGGGGCTAGGCCAGACTCTGTGAAACCTCAAGGCCTGCCAAAATGGCAGCACAATGCTATACAATTTGGAGGGATTCCAGACCCCACAAAGCCTCGTGGGTACAAATACCAGTCACTCATTGATGCTTACTCTGTCCACACAGCCACCCTCAGTTAGTGAAGCAGTACACCTTCATATCAAAGGAGTATAAAATGTTGGACGCACTGTTTCTGACCCCAAGCTGGTATAGCAGTGGGTAAGGGTCACATACTGTAACTGACCAGGCTGGTACAGCAGTGGGTGAGGGTGTGACACACTGTTACTGACCAAGTTGGTACAGCAGTGGGTGAGGGTCACACACTGTTACTGACCAGGTTGGTACAGCAGTGGGTGAGGTTGTGACACACTGTTACTGACCAGGTTGGTACAGCAGTGGGTGAGGGTCACACACTGTTACTGACCAGGTTGGTACAGCAGTGGTGAATTTGACCTTGAGCTCACCACTCTACCTTTCCCAGATGCATCAGTTTATGACAGTATCATTATGGAGAGCGATTCCCATCTTCACATTGAGGATACCCTTCATTAGGTTATGTGGTGCTGTCACTGTGCGCGATGGGACAGAAGTGATATGCCAACTCAGATCTGAGAATCCATGACATGCTGTGGGCCAACAGCTACAGCAGAAATTACTAAACCAAATCTTTGACATGAAATAAAACAAGGACTGTGGATGCTGGAAGTCTGAAACAAAAACAAATTCCTGGACAAACTCAGCAGGTCTGGCAGCAAGTGACCCTTCTTCAGAACCGGACGTGAAATGTTCACTCGGTTTCTCTCTCCACAGATGCTGCCAGACTTGTTACGTTTCTCCAGCACTTTCGGGTTTTTTATTCTGGGGGTTTTTTCCCAACCATTTCTTTGGTTAACTTGGTAACCACACAGTTACTCAATTATAGCAAACAACACTTAGAGTGAATGGGATCAACATGCATGGATCAAGTGGCCCCTGCCTGTGCTGTTTATTTATACTATCAACTTGTAAGGGACCAGATTTCTTTCCTTTTTCAACAATAAACTGGAATGGTTGTCTGAGACACTTCTATGAAGCTGTAATCCAGGAAAAGTTTGCAACTTAGAAAAGCAGTACAAGTCTGTGTACTTTTGGAGCAGTGAAAGTGTTTCATTATAGAGTCCGAGTGTCACCAGGAGTCTTTGAATTAAGGGAGATGTGTTTGACAACAGCTCTGCTTGGTTGGGTGCAGTTTGCTATAGGCTAGTGAGTGGAAAGCAGCCAGAGCCATCTAGGTGATGGTAAACAGAAAACATCTTTCCCCCTTCTCTCTGTGTGAGTGCAAAGAGAAAAACAGCGAGAAACTCTGAAAAGAGAGAATTCCAACACAAGAGAAGGCCAAAGTCCACTTGACCAGTATTGACTCGAAGAGCAATCATTGTTAAAATCAAAAGAACTGTGAGAAATAACTCTCCAGCTCTTGCTCTGGGCTTTCAATCTTCTGTCTTCCCTGCCTATATTTTTCCACCCATAATGTTTGTGTCAAACTAACTTGTTTTGTCTGTCTTATTCCTGAATGTGTGTGTGTGTGTATTTAGAGGTTTTAAAGGATGTGGTTTAATTTGCAAAGAGAAGAGTTGACTGTTTTACAGTAAATAGTTCTTTTGCTGTTAATGGCAGAACCTGATGTGAATTGCTTTTGTCCTGAATAGCAGGTGTCAGGCGGGTTGATCTTCTTAGTCGTTTAATTGGGTATTTACACTTTTGTGATTGCTTGTGCAGTAGTAGGGCTCAATTATCGGAACCCTCTTGCCAGTTAAGTTGCAAAAGATGAGAATGCGTTGGTGACTGAGTCATAATGCAAAACTCTAACGTTATTTATCTGTTTTCAGGCACTGAAAAAATATTATTTCATAGGATAACATGCTTTCTAGTTTCGGATGTGGAACAAAGAATTACATTGACATTTTCTTTCTTTTTTAGCTTTTTAGACAGAATTGACCAAGTCCGACAAAATGATTACTCCCCATCAGACCAGGTGAGTGACTTAACAAAAGGAATATATCCGGTCCGATTCTGTCTTGATTCTCTCATTCCATCATAATATGTACACTGATGTATACACTCATTAATGGTCAAACTACTGAGATACTTTTTTTTGGACAGAAGTTGTCTTTTGCACAGTTAATGCTTTAAGTGCTTGAAATACGTGTTTGATTTAGTTTCTAATGTACACCATTGGATTTTATTTGGGTCTAAGAGTATGAAATAATTTACATTAATTTCCTATTTATTCATCTTATTTTATAATATCATTTGTTTTGTAGCATTTCAAACTACAGGCTTTTAACTTGTACTAATTATTCAACATCTGAATGTTTTAAACATTTACTTACCAGTATTCATTTTCATTATTGATACATTTAGAATCAAATCATTGCCATCTCTAGGATTATACTTTGGTTCTGAACTGTTTGAGCTTCAAAAAACTAAATTTGACTTTTACACAAGGGAACATGAAAAGTAATGGGCCTTAAAGGCCAAAAATCAAGAGGTTGACTTGTATTTGAGATCGACTCTTCCGTGAACTCAACTGCAAGCACCTTAAAGTGCACGTTCACATTTACTTTATTCTGGACTCTGAACTTTCTAGGTCTAACAGCACATCATTATTCCTTCATCCAGTAAAGACTTGATTCATAAATACCACAACCAAGCCTGAAATATATTATTGAAGTTTCTACATTTCAAAGAGTGATCCCCTGCTAGGAGTGACTCCAGTATGGATAGATGCCAGTGAGGATCCCCTGGCACCTGGGAGGCAACATACCATCTTGGTGTGTCTTCTCCAGCCACAGAATCTCCTATCAGTCTGCCTCACAATTGAGTCTCCTATTAGTATCGCTCTGTCTGACTGCACCCTTTCCCTCAGAGCTGGTCACAGTGCCACTGACCTGACTGCTGCTGCTAGCCCCTGAAAGGTCATTCCTCCCCCACCCTTCCAACAGTATCCAAAGTGGTATACCTGTTATTGAGCGGAATGGCCACAGGGGAACCCTGCACATATCTGCCTTCCCCCTTTACCTCTTCTGGTGGTCGCCCAGTTACCTGCAGCCTGCACCTTAGGGGTGACCACTCCACTATAGCTCTTATCAATGATGTTCTGTCCACCCTGGATGATCCTGAGTGCATCCAGCTCCAGTTCCCTAACGTGGCCTGTCAGGAGCTGCAGCAGGGTGCACTTCTCATAGGTGTAGCCACTAAGGGCACTGGAAGTCTCCCTGATCTCCCACATCCTGCAAGAGGAGCATACCACTGCTCTAACTGCCATTCTTACTGACTTCGGTCTAATCAGAAAGAAAGTAGAGTTAAAGAACCCTTACCTGCTCTTACCTGTACACCTGCTCAGCCTCCTCAAACCAAAATCTTTCGAGCAAAGGCCTCAGCACTTTGCCGTTTTTCGCTTTACTACCCTGAAAAATATTTGTCTTTTAATTTTGGCTATCTTCCTCACTTTAACCAGTATTTTGTCCATGTATCAGATCTCTTAGATCACCAGCTTCTATTTGAGTTTGCAAACTATGGTCTGCTGCTGCTCATGTTGTGAGACACCTTGTAGTCAATAACTATAATCAAAGTGGTCTTCGTTCTTAGAAATGTATCATTTTCAAGTTGAAACCTTATTACTTAAAATTACTGTTGTAAAATTTCTCATACCAGCATTTTTAAGGGTTTCAAAATCTGGCTCAATCTTAATAGCCCTATGCCACCATTCCAATATTATTTCTGTTGCCAAGGCAAAATTCACAAGAGTCTCATTCTGTTTCTTCCTCCAATTTCTAATGTATTTCCAGCTCTTCTCATTTATATATCAAGTTTTCAGCATCTGTAGTCTTTTGTTTTGTTTACTACCAATTTATTGCCCTGAAGATATGGTGGGATTTAATCGAACTGAATAATTAAATGTTATTAATTTTAAAAAGCAGAAATTGAAAGTTGCTTTCGTACAAAGATCATAGAGAGACAATATAAATTAAAGAATAGTATTCTAAAGTATGTGCAGGAGCAGAAAGAACAAGGAGTATATTTGCATGTAAAATAGAGAGTGCTGTTAATAATGCAACAGTATTCTAATAATATTGTAATGTTATTATTCTGTTATTGTTCTAGTATCTGAATTGTTAAAAGTGGCATGTTGTACAGGAGCAATTTGTATAAGATCCAAGCTAGAGTATGGTATACAATTCTAGGTGCCGTACGTTTGGAAGGATATGAACATATTAGAGAGACTGCAAAAGGGATTTGTAAGAATGGTTCCAGGGATGAGAATGGAGTGGAGGGCCTACAGTTGTTTTCCTTAGGGAGAAGAAATCTAAGAGAATATCTGAGAAAAGTTTTCAAAATCATAAGGAGTCCAGACAGGGGGCCAAGCAGTTCCAGCTCGTAAGGGTTGAGGACACAGATTTAGTGTTTTACAAAATAAGTAAATGTGAGGTGAGAATAAAGCATTTCGCACAGTGAGTGGTCCTGGTTTGGATTGCACTGCCTGGAGGACGCAGATCAATAGAGGTATTCAGGAGGATATTAGATGATTATTTAAACAGAAATGATGTGCAGGATCATGGGGAAAAGGCAGGAGATTGATATTATTTCAAAATGCTCAGTTGGTGATACAGTGCAGGAAGAGGCATTTTTTGTAATAATTGTGTGATTCCGTGGTAGTGTCAGTAATAGTGCTATGAACGCTCAAAAGTTGTCATGAAGACCCAGCAGTCCTTTTAAGGAAGGAGATCTGTTACGCGTTCCTGGTCTGGACTCTATTTGACTCTAGACCCAGAGCATGTGATTGACTCTTCAATGCCATCTGACATGGTGAGCATTCCACTCAGCATGTCAGAGTTTTACCGAAATATTAATACTGGCTCACAATCCTAGACCTCCCTTTTTAACAGCACTAGAAATGTACCTACACAAGGTGAACTGCAGCGATTCAAGAAGTCTCAGAAAGTAGGAAATGTAACTCTTCTATTTCAGAGAGGGAGGAGACAAAAAACTGGAAACTCCAGACCAGTTAGCATAATATCTACCATGGAGAAGATGCAGGAATCTATTATTAGAAAAGCAGGGCACTTTGAAAATATCAGTGCAATTGGGCAGCGTCAACCTGGTTTTGTCTGAGGGAGATTTTGTTGACTAATTTATTAGAGTTCTTTGAGGAAGTAACAGGCAACATGGATAATGGGGAAGCCTGGTAGATGTGGTGTACTTGTGTTTCCAGACCTCACTTTATTAAAGTCTCACATCAAAGGTTGCTGGGTAAAGGATGTGCTGACTGTGCGGGAGATAATTCATGAGCACAGCTAGTGGATCGGTTAGCCAATGGGAAGCAGAGATTGGGCAGAAATAAGATGTAGGTGAGACTCTTGGGTTTCTCAGCACCTGAATCACAGGAAGTTAACATGCAGGAAAACAAACGATTAGGAAAGCAAATTAACATGTTAGGGTTTTGTTACAAAGGAAGAGGAGCACAAGAATAAAGTCTAACTGCCTTGGTAAGATGACAGCTGAAATACTGTGTGCAGTTCAGGATCTTTCCCTAAGAAGGGTAGCCTAGCTTATGAATGTTCCCTGGACTGATTCCTGGGAGGAGGAGATAGCTGAGTGGACCTGTATCCCCTGGAGTATAGAATAGTGAAAGGAGATCATATTGAAGCATATAAAATTCTGGGCCAATACTGGGAGAGTGTTTGTGTTGGCTAGGAAGGCTGGAATTAAGGCTTGGCCAATTAGAACTGAGAGGACAAAAGGTTTCCACACTCGGGGGAACAAATATTTGGATACTGTGAGTGGTTAGTCATTGTGTATGTTCAAGATGGTGATTGATATATTTTTGGACACTGTGGGAATCAATGGTTATGGGCTACCACACAAAGGTAGATTATCCTTCTAAGCAAGTGACATTCCCATTTTAATGCAAGCTCACTTTCGTACAAATTAGATTCAGAAGGAAAGGGTGGCAATCTCAGTAAAGTCTTGATCAGCCATGAAAATGTTGAATGGCAGAGTGGACTTGATGGGCCGAATGACCTACTTCTGCTCTTACATCTTATATTCTGTAGATTTGAGGTAGCTCACCACCGCCTTTTCAAGAGCATTTAGTGATGGTCAACAAATTCTAGCCTTGGAGTTCTTTTTTTGAAGCAGTCAAACTGCTATCAGCAATTCTACTCTGGTAAAACTCCATAGCAAGTCTGTTTACCCAGCCAGTTGGACAGATATTGTAGGAGAGTTTTTCTCAGTCAGAGGTGTTTGTGAATATTCTTCTTGTCCTTTCCACCAGGATTTGCTCCGATGCAGAGTTTTGACATCAGGGATTTTTGAAACAAGATTTCAAGTTGATAAAGTAAATTTTCAGTGAGTATGTTTCTAAAATCATTCCTATAATTTGAGTGCTCCTAACTATCACAAAGGTTTTCACAACTTCTCGCATGACTATTCGTCAACCAAAGCGCACACAAATTAATGAGGGACAGGAAATCTAAACTCGGGGTAACTGCTGGCTCAGACTTTTTAACAGTTTCTCCGTTGTTGATGGGATTCTTTTACTGAAGGCCCCTTGAATTGTCATCCTGGGTGACCAATAATTGCTGGTGTTGCCTGTGACAGTCACATCCCGCAGAATGATAGCAGGGAAATATTTGAAGCTGAAACTTGACTGAGGTAGTGACGTGCTACTCTGTAGTGGACAGTGCTGCCTTTCTGATGAGATGCTAAACTCCCTCCATACAGTCAAAGGTAACGGATCCCATGCTATTCCCAAGTGCACACGGAGTTCTCCAGTGTCCTGATCAGCAAACCTCTTTCATCCTAATGTCACCAGAAAACACACATTATCAAGTTACCTGTTCAATTGCTGTGTGTGTAACCTGGCTGCCCCCTCGGTCTGCACTGCAGTGAGTGCCTGAAAAAATGCACTCAGATATCTGAGGACGTGAAAATATCCAAATAATATCAATAATTCCTAATGGGGAAGTGCTGTAATTCCACCCTTTTACTTTTGTGTATTGGCAATGTTAACTGAAGCCATTTTTATACTTTTCTTGCATTGTTTGCACTCTTACGAAATTCTTTTCCTGCCACTGGTTCCCAGATGTAGTAATTAAATGGCTTGATGATCTTTGTGAGGACGTAGAAGCAGTTATTTTGAGAGATTTATGCCACAGCATCATTAATTTCTGAAGATTGGCAAGGTCCTTCCAAATCATAGCAAGCAATGATGGAAGTTCCTGGTGCTGAGCAGGATCAATATAGAAACATAGGTCTCGGAGAGTTTTCTTGGATAGTGGGAAGGGCTTTAGAGTTTTAAATTAGTTTCCTCAATCGTAGAGGAACCTGTTTAAACTCTTTGTTTTAGTTATGGATAGTTCTGACCAGTGAAAAATGATGTGATACATCTCAATTAACAGTTTCTAAGTCACATCAAGGACAAGATCATTGCATTATTAAATCGCATCAATAAAATGTTCTACTATCACTGACAGAAAGTCATTGTATAATGTTATCAATAATATAAAATTCTCTGGCATTTAGCAAACCTCACTCCCTCCCACTCTCCCAGTCAGTAAACTTTGTGTATTTCACTATCGATACAGTAAGTGAGACTTCTGACTGTGTTGTGTTTTTTTTCCAGCATGTTTGATGTGGGCGGACAGAGAGATGAACGTAGAAAGTGGATACAGTGTTTCAATGGTCAGTACTTGAGGAGGACCATTTAATGTTTAAAAAACGTTCTCAGTTGATCGCCGGGTGTCACCACTGTTATTAAAATTCTACAAGTATACGGCCGTTGATTATAGTATTCACCGTTGAATTTCTTCTAACTAAAAACCAAAAGAACTGCGGATGCTATAAATCAAAAACAAAAACAAACCGTTCAAAAGGCTCACCGGCATCTGTGGAGAGAAATCAGAGTTAACGTTTTAGGTCAAGTGACCCTTCCTCAGAATTTCTTCTGCCACTTTCTCCTATTAGTTTACCCCATTGTCACTTTATCAAGCTATTAATTTACAGGAGACCTGTTCAGATTCCAAACTGCCACTGTCCAATTCCTTTTTGTTAATTAGTTTATTAATCCCTGTACACACTGCACAACTACCAGATGAAAATGTGAAGGCTGTGAATAGAATGAGGTTTGATTAAAATGTTGACTTAGTTCCTTAATCAAAAAATTTTGCGGGAAATCCAGTTTAGCGGGTAAATTTTCACAGTACAATACACAGGTTGGGGAAGTAGAATTCATGATTGTAAATTAACCTATTCTCGCTTGATACCGTTCTGATTCAGGACTAGTAGCGTTGGTCAGATTCTCATTAACCCAGTGCTGCCATCTAAGGGTAGCTCCTTCTGTAAATGGCAAGGAAAGGGCTAGTGGCGAAATCTGATTCCTGATGCTATTAGGGGTTCAGTTGTAAAGGCCAGTGGTCCAGCTGATCTAGACCAGAGCAATGTTGGGATACCAGCATCTGAGTAATGTCTGGAGATAGTGGTGGTCCTAAAATGATAATCCAGGCCAATAATGGTACTGACTGACTCTTGTGCAACCTGAAGAATCAATCTCCCTGATTCCACAAAAGAAGTGACGGTGTACATTTGCAGATGGAATTTTAGTTAGCTCCTGGAATCCAATTTACTTACTAAAAGGTGCCTTGAGGTGGTGACCTAGTGATATTATTGTAGACTATTAATCTAGAATACCACGTAATATTCTGGGGACCTGGGTTTGCAGATGGTGGAATCTGAATTTGATTTATAAATAAAATCTTCAAAGGTGCTGAACAACTGAAGCATTTGGACTATTCAGCCAGTCAGTGGTAAGCCCTTTCCCAAATGGTTATGTAGAATGGGAGAGTAAGTCCACTGGTCCCTTTGTTGCGGTATTATGGTGCTGCTAACTCCCAATCTCGGATATATACTCAGTCCCGGGTGACCGTATACTTGGAGAGAAAATGGGTATGTGAATTGGTCGGTTTCAGGGGGGACCCAATCGGATTGAGGTTGCAAGGGCAACAGTCACCCCAATGCAATTGTCCCATTTTGTTAAATCATAAACCCGCCTACCAGCCACCATCGTATTATAGCCATTAATTCCCTCCAAAACATATTGAACTCCTTTTCAGTAGCCTGGTGTAATTGTTACTTTTCTCTTTAACCATGAATTAAACTACTTTCCTGAACTGATATTAGAGTCATAGAGATTTACAGCTTTTTGGAAACAGGCTTTTTGGCCCAACTCGTCCATGCTGCCCAGTTTTTACAATTAAACTAGTCCTATTTGCCTGTGTTTGGTCCATATCCCTCCATACCCATCCCATTCATGTATCTGATGAAATTGTACTCACCTCCACCACTACCTCTGGCAGCCTGTTTCAGACACTCATCACCCCCTGTGTGAAAAAATTGCCTCTCTGGACCCTTGTGTATCTCTCCCTTGTCACCTTAAACATATACAGTCGGTTCTGATATAACGTGATAGTTCCGTTCTCATCCAATCTTGCGTTATAAGAAAATCGCTCAGTAGCCGCACCATTTAAACAATTGGGATCGGAATTGCATTACAGCCAATACAGGTAAGGAAATTTCGTGTCTACAGATAGGGGTCTAAATTCTTCAATCGCGTTAAAGCCAATTTGCGTTGAAATAGCACATGTTATAGCAGAACCGACTGTACCCTCTAATTGTAGACACCCCTGCCATGGGGAAAAGTAGTTGGCTGTCCACCTTATCTGTGTCTCTCATGGTTTTCTAAACCTCGATAAAGTCACTTCTCAGTCTCCTTCAGTTCAGGGGAAAAGAAGTCCCAACCTATCCATCCTCTCCTTATAATTCAAACATTCCAATTCAAGTAGCATCCTAGTAAATCTTTTCTGACTCTTTTTAGTTTAATATCCTTTCTGTAGTAGTGCAATTAGAGTCTGAAGTGTATTTCAGATCTGAAGATTGGTCTTTACTTTGGCAGCACACTGTGACATTTAGAGCAAGTCATTGGTCAGTCAGTTCTCAGTTATAGAAGGTTTCAGCTCTGAATGGTCAAGTTGGATGTCAGCAGTCTGTTCATCGTGCTCCCTTTACTGGTCACGCCATTGCCACCTCATTAAACTTATGATGTGGAGGTGTTGATGTTGGACTCGGGGGACAAAATCAGAGCTGCTCCTTCGTCGGGTAAACATGAGGAGCAAAGCTCTGAAAGCTTGTGATTTCATATAAATGTGTTGGACTATAACTTGGTGTCGTGTGACTTCTGACTTTGTTGCACTTAAGCATTGTTAGAGTCTGTTAAAGACCAATTGGCTGTTTAACTAGCATTGCAGATAACAAAACTGGGTCTGTTACCAAAACGGGATATAACATTTGAATCCAGTAACCATGTTATTTTCTTTTGCTCCCATTTCCCCTCCCTCCCGTCTCTCTGGACTGAATGGAATTGTCACTGCCCCCATGTGCGTGTAGACGTCACAGCCATTATTTTTGTGGTGGCCAGTAGTAGCTACAACATGGTGATAAGGGAAGACAACAACACCAATCGACTCCGTGAAGCTCTTGATCTTTTCAAAAGCATTTGGAATAACAGGTAAAAGCGAGCGTTTATTTTATTTTAATACATACATTTGGATGACGTTTTTTGTGAGAATAATGTTTTATTAGATGTTTAGGGCTACACTTCCTGTGATTTTCATTCCCCTGTCTCCTAGGATTTACAATTAACATGGAACTGGGCCAATATATCACAAACTTAATTTAGATTTGGTCTTTTTGTGGCCATTAATGAGAAGTCGGGTCAAGTGCATATCCCTGGGCAGTAGAGAAAGCAAGCTTGTTGTATTTACAACAATCATCTTTAGAGCATTGGATCCCCACATTTCTGATTCTGCTGGGTGTATTAATTTTAATACATAACATCTTTACACATAACTTTACAATCTGCCTCTATGTGGAATTGACTGCTGGTGTTGAATGGGAACACCGTCCAGTTCATTCTGTTGTAATTCCATTGGGAATTTTAGTGATAATATTCTTGAGGAGCAAGTTAGGTCGCCATTAATTATCATCAATTTTTATCAATGTCATCAATTATTATCAATAATTTTATCAATTATCATCAATAATTATCATACTTTCCTATTTTAGAGAGGAGCTGAGAATGCAACTATTTTTAAATTGCTAGCCCTTCTGTTATTCACGTGTTACAGTGTAGTAATGATTTAGATTTTTGAAATTAAAACACAAGTTCTAAACTTGTCTATGATACCAAATTGGTGACATAGTCCATAGTGGGAGGGATTGCAACAAACTAAAGGAAGACAGTAATAAACTTGCAGGATAAGTATATAATTGGCAAATTATTTTCAACACATATAATTGTGAGGTATATCTTAGCAAGAGATATGAGGTGTTATTCATTAAGAAATAATGTACATGAGGTTCCAGAGTTTTCTTGGGTCTAAATATGCGAATTACTGGACTGAAGTCAATAAGGCCATCACAGAAGTCAACCAAGCACACAGGTTTATTTTCTAGTTGGACAGAGTTGAAGAGTAGAGTAATAATTTCAAATATGGATCAAGCTTTGGTTAGGCAACATTTGGATTTCTCTGTACAGTTCTCATCACCATTTTCTAAAACAGGTTTGGAGACCTGGTGAAAGTGCAAAAATTATTTACAAGGCTGATTCTGTGAATGGCATAGTTATACACATCAGGAGAGGATGAGAAAGCTGATTCACTTTTCCCCTGAAAAGAGATGATTCATAGTTGACCTTGCAGAATGGGTTGCTACCCTGGCCATGTTGAGTGAATTAATCACAACAGCAATAATACTGCAGATTTCAGAATCACTGTTAGCTTGCCTGAGCTAGGAACAAAGGGGAAAAATCATCAGTATCTGGTTCCCACTGTCACTTTCCTGCTGTGAAGAGATGGTGCTGTATGGGCTGTTAGATGAGAGCAAACGTTGGCTTGGCAAGTGTGCTACCCTCCACAGTTCAACAGCCAGCAGGGACTGTCAACTGAAGGATGGGCACTTTGCAGTATGTTTTGAGAATGGTCAACACAAGAGCAAGTGTGGTCAGGTTTAGAGTTGGGGAGAAACAAAATCGGTGCTATAACACTAGATACTTCTCTTTGTTACATGGGTCTGATGAAGAATTTACAGCACAGACCAGGCCATTTAACCTGCTGGTATTTACAAGCTTCCTGCTATCCTACCATCAACATCTCCCCGTTTTATATTTGTGCTCTGCTCCGGTCCTGCATGGCTACAATGATTTGGCTGCTTGTGGAAGTTGCAGTACTGGTGCAGTCATAAACTGTAATATCCCAGGGTTAACCGATAAATATGAAATATTCCTTATACTGTGTGCTTTATAAACACTCTTTTATGTCACTCCAGGTCTTGTAACCAATTTCCAGTACAGTGTAAAATTTAACTAAAGTTTTCTTTAGTTAATGACAACCAAGGGGTTTGACACCAGAGGGAGTCAGTCTGCAATGTAGCTGCTTGTTGGTGATTCTTTTCCATCCCTTCTGACAATTCTGTTAATCCCAATCATTTGCCTGCTTGTAAAGTAAGCTCTGTGCTTCGATGTTTGTTCAGGCACAGACACAGTGGACCAAATGGCTTCCTTCTGTGTTATATCATTCTAAGGACCACAATTCTCTGTTGCAATATGCTTTTAACTGTGCAGTTGAGAGTCTGCACTTCCTGACACAGCAGATCCCATTGCTCTAATTTCCCCATTGCTCTAACGTTGGGAACCAACATTAAATTCAAGCTTGGGCACTATTGCAGACAGATGGAAGCCCAACTTTGCATTGAGCAAAAGTCTTGATAAAAGCTGCAACTTCAAATAAGCATTGGGCCTCTTTAGATGTGCACAGACAGACTGCAAAGTGTGACTGTTACTCAGATCCCAGATAACACAACACTGTATCAGTAGAATTAGCTGTTTTACCACATGCTGACTGTTGTACCTTTTGTGCTAGGTGGCTGCGAACCATTTCTGTCATCCTCTTCTTAAACAAACAAGACCTTCTGGCTGAGAAAGTGTTGGCAGGAAAATCCAAAATTGAAGACTATTTTCCAGAATATACACGCTACACAACACCAGATGACGGTAATGCATTCAGTGTTGTATATTTATGTACAGCCTCTCTAGGAACAAGAACAAAGGAGCAGGAAATGTCTATTTAGCCCCCTTGAGATGTTGGCTTATCAATGTCCATCCACCTACCTTGTCTGCATATCCCTCCATGCCTAGGAGTGACAAAAAAATTTATTGATCTCAGATTTCAAATGAACATGATCAAGCATTAATTGCTGTTTGCAGAAGAGTCCCAAACCTCTGTATGCGTTAGTGATTTTCATTTCACTTCCACCTCAGGAAAGCCTTGCCTCCTATGTGTGTGTTTTTTTTTAATCCACAGGATGTCAGACAAGATCAGCATTTCTCACACGGCAGCTGTTAAAGGTTCTGCCATTCACACCTTGACAGAGCACACACAAGAGCACAGTGCAGATGCCAGGAATCTGAAACAAAAATGCAGGAAATATTCAGGCCTGGTAACTCTATGGATGAATGAGCAAAGTTAACAGTTTGGATCAATGACCTTTCTTCAGAATCTCTGGCCACATCTTTCGTTACTTTCCTTGATCCAGCACCACTCCCTTCTTGCCTTGCACCATCAACTCTTTTGGGATTTAATTTTTCCTGTCTTTACCCTACTACCTTCCCTTTTGTTCACTTTTCCTCTTGTCACTGCCTAAAACATGCCACATTACTGATTTCCCCATGTTCTGATAAAAGGGTATTAACCTGAAACCTTAACTCTGTTTCTCACTACAGATATCATCAGACTTCAATATTTGCAGCATGTCCTGTTTTTACCTCTTGTGATGATTGTAACAAAGTCAGCCAAGTGGACTTTGTAGAATATGAGTTACCTGATTGGGGCTGTTAATCTGGTCCAATCAGGGAGCCCTGGATGACAGATATAAACAGGAGTGTTCACTGAGAACTGGATCAGTGTCAAGGACTTTCCCTGTGTAAATAAAGAGTGACTTGGTGACTGTAGAGTTATTTCACCTCTATGAACTAATTGCTCGCATGCTCTGATTTAATGCATTTGGAAAGATAATTATTTGAATGAGTTTACTGATGATCTGGAGTTCCTTTATCATCATTTAGGCCTTTCTCTGTCTCAGCTCTGTCATGCACCTCTGACCCAATTTGCTTTTGTTTGACCGTACTCCCTGACCTGTTCCTAGTCCCTCTGAGCTAGTTGCCAGTTTGACATTTGCGCTGATAGAATGCCATAAAATACAGTTTAACAGCCTGGATTTGTGTAGTGGTATTATCTTAGAACACCCATCTAGCCCACCCCCAAGCTGCTTTAAATCAATTTTGTTTGTCAATGCCTGCATTTATTTCCTCTCTGGAACCATTCACATGTCTATCAGAGGCAAATCTGCCTTGCAGCATTCAATTCACTCACTTTCAGTGGGACTCGGTGTGATTGATAACGAACCAGCAACAAACTAATAAGCTGTTTCTTGAACTGTGTTTTTTTAAATTCATTGTTTCTCTGTTTTGGAAACAGCAACACCAGAACCTGGAGAAGATGCAAGAGTTACAAGAGCAAAATACTTTGTACGGGATGAATTTCTTGTGAGTATTTAATTGAGATTGATGCAGTGTCAGAAGGAAATCGGACATTCAAACTGCTGGTTAATGGAACCAAGTGGGAAGACACTGTGAATGCTGGAAATCAAAAATAAAAGCAGCATATCACCCCACCAACCTCCACATTTTTTAAATTCGTTCATGGGATGAGGGCGTCGCTGGCCAGGCAGTATTTATTGTCCATCTCTAATTGCCCAGAGGGCAGCTAAGAGTCAACCACATTGCAGTGGGTCTGGAGTCCCATGTGGGCCAGACCAGCTAAGGATGGCAGTTTCCTTCCCTAAAGGACATTAGTGAATCAGATGGGATTTTCCCTGATAATCGGCAATGGATTCACGGTCATCATTAGTTTCTTAATTCCAGACATTTATTGACGGAATTCGAACCCAGGTCCCCAGAACATTATTTGGGTCTCTGGATGAACAGTCCAATGATAATTCCACTAGGCCATTGCCTCCCCTATATATCATCCAGTCTATCATTCTCTGCCACTTCCACCACCTACAATTTGACCCCACAAGCAAAGATATATTTCCCTCCCCACCCCTATCTGCCTTTCATAGGGACCACTGTCTCGGTGACTCCCTCGTCCACTCCACACTCCCCACTAGCCCCACCACCCCTGGCACCTTTCCCTGCAACCGCAGGAAGTGCTACCCCTTCACCCACACCTCCCCCCTCACCTCTATTCAAGGCACCAAACAAACCTTCCACATCAGACAGAGGTTCACCTGCACATCCATCAATGTGGTCTGTTGCATCTGCTGCTCCCAATGTGGCCTCCTCTACATCGGTGAGACCAAGTGTAGACTCGGAGACCATTTTGTAGAGCATCTACGCTCTGTACGCAACAAACGACAACACCTTCCAGTTGCCAACCATTTTAACTCCCCTTTCTACTACCTGGGTGACATGTCCATCCTGGGCCTCCTCCGACATCACAATGGCACCACCCACAAACACCTTGTATTCCGCCTCGGGAGCCTACAGCCCGATGACCTAAACATGGAATTCACCAGTTTTAAAACCTCCACAACCCTGGGCTTATCCCATGTCCAACCCTCCCTCTTGTCCCCGCCTCCTTGACTCGATACAATCTGTCCATCTTCTCTCCCACCCATCCCACTGACCAATCCCCACCACTCCCTATCTGCACTCACCTATCACCAGCCCACCTATCTTCCCCAGCCCCACCCCTCCTCTCTCTTTATTTCCCAGTTCCCTCCCCATTTCTGAAGAAGGGTTCCGACCCGAAACTTTCCTGTTCCTCTGATGCTGCCTGGCCTGCTGTGTTCCTCCAGCTCCATACTGTGCTAACTCTGACTCCAGCATCTGCAGTTCTTGCTATCTCTGAATGCTGGACAATGCCTGATTGCCTTTTTGGAGAGAGAAGCAGAGTTAACATTTCCAGTTAAGAACCTCCCAGCAGACCCAAAAACATTTGTTCTGTCTCCACAGATGCTACTAGACCAGCTGATCTGTTCCTAGCAATTTCTCTTTTTATTGGAGAGTTTTACATTTTATTTAGTAATGTAAAAGAAATTGAAAAGCAATTGCAAAGCCTGTAGCACATCATCCAAGCTTGAAAAGAATGCAAAATTTTTCAACCCTTGGACTTCCTTCTAACACCTTAGCATGCTTCTCCCCTCCTCTCTTTCGTTCAAAGTGGTATTTGTGTTTATCCCTTCCTTCTCCACAGTTTGATCCTCAAATATGTTTTGTGAGAGATACAGTATAATTTGGTAACTTGTGCATTGTAAGTTTTTATATTTTAATAGGGGCTGTAGGTAATAAAGATCTTGAAGTCTACACTATAACTTGACTAGTCCTAAGCACTAACATCCTTGAGCTGTTCTGATTTTAGTCACCTGCACGTCCCTGGTTTTCCTCCTTCCATCATTAGAAGCCATGGGAAATGCAGGGTTACAGAGATAGGGTAGAGGGGTAGGTCTGGGTAGGATGGTTTTTGGAGGTTGGTGTGGACTTGATTGGCTGAATGGCCAGCTTCCACATTGTAGAAATTCTATGATTCTATGCTTTCAGCTGCCTCATCCCTAAATTCTGGAATCCCCACACTCCTGCTTTAAGCTGTTCTTTAAGAACCATCCCTTGCAGTATCTCTTTGTAATTTGGTGTCAAACATTACTTCATCCTATAATACCCTTGGAGAAGCCTTGGATCTTTTAACAATGTTGAAAGCACATGCTGTTGTCTTTGTTACAGCACTACAGGAACGTCTGCTTGGCATATTTTTAGTAGCTGAAAGACAGAGGGTAAACACGTCACGTTCGAAACATTAAGCACATGTCCTTTGTATCCACAAATCAGTATCTAAGTTGCGAGCCTGGGCAAAGGCAGGTATTCACCAGCTACTGTTGCTTCTTTCTGCAGAGGATCAGCACAGCAAGTGGAGATGGACGACACTACTGTTACCCTCACTTCACCTGTGCAGTGGATACAGAAAACATCCGCAGGGTATTCAATGACTGTCGAGACATTATTCAGAGAATGCATCTTCGCCAGTACGAACTATTGTGATGGAGAAACAACCCAAGTTCTTGATTTTTGGACTCCCTGATTCCTTTTTCTTAATGTGCCCACACAGGGTGGGAGAAATATGAGTGAAGTGGATCTACTTTGCTCTCAAAATTCTCTCTTTCTTTACGCATCCTTTCTTGTATTCCCTTCTTCATGCATCCCATTGTATTTTTTTTAAAAAACTCTGCTCCTGCTCCCTCTCTGTGGTTCCACTGAGCCCTCTGGCTACCTCTGTGTCTGACAGATGCCTGAGTATACCTCAGCCTGTCTCCCTCCAGGCTTGTAGCTCTATTGTCTAGTTGTCTCTGCCCTTGGGCAGCACAAGATGGCACTACCCTCAGACCTCTCCCCGTCTGGGTTTCTTTTCGACACAACACTTGAGAGTACTTGATGGGGTAAAATACATTAGGATGAAAATGCACTTTTTGCATCGGGTCATTTAAAAAAAAACTGTTGAGGAAGTTCACGTAATGTAGCAGCACCACAATATTTAATAGTTTCACGGTTTTCAGCATTAAGAAACACAGGGTGGCTGAAAGAAAAGGACCTCCTCTTAAGCCAGCAATGGCAAAGATTTTTTTAAAAAACAAAACGAGGCAGGATGTCCAAGTCCTACAAGTAGGAGCAATGTTTTGAGGTCTTGGGGCTATCGAGTCTCATCACATCTTAGACCTTGAACAGAAACTGCTTCAGTTTATGAGGCTGGAAACAGCCCCATGCGCGCGCACACACACACACACACACACACACACAAATGTTTGTTCAAGCTGTCAATTACAATCCCTTAGCTTAGATCATGAATGGACAAATAGTCCGACATTTGTTTCTTTTTTTTTGTTTGTTTTACTGCTGATTATTATCTTGTACAGACTGTAAAATGTATTATTTTGTACAACTTTATTGAAGAAAAATACTTGTAGACGATCTTTGTGCCTTGATTATGGCTGTACCTGTAAAATGAGCTAAGATGTAAGTATGTTTGATTGCGCTGTACAGCTTCATGTCCAAAACCTATCTACAGCAGTGGCTGAAGATAGGGAGTTTATCTGTAGAGATTAGTTTTTTTCTGGTTTATAAAGAAGGAAAATGCTCTTTAGTAAAAAAAACTGTATAAATTATGCAAATTAACCACTTACCTTTACAAGGAGAGGTCAGAGGTGACGAGATGTTGCAACATCACACCTTGCTTTGGATTCTCAGCTTTAACACATTGGAATCCATTCAAGTGTCCAAAATGCAACGTGGAATTATTTCTATGGGAACCAAGGTTTTTTTGCTAGAAATATACATGTTTGGTAATTCTTCGGTCATTCATAGACCTTCACAAATGCATAGGCATTGTGAATGTGTGAGCACCATTAGATAGGGTCTTAAATCCTTGTACCAACAGCAGCTTTTATTGTGCAAGTAAATAGTACGAAAACAGAAAAAAAACAACTAAGGTGTAAACCTTTGTGTCTGGCCTAAAAGAATTACATAATGACATTTTTATTTCTCTTTTAATAAAGAGATATGTTAGAAAAGTTTATTTTAAATATTGTAGAATTTGAGATGTGTGAAAATTTCTCAGACTTGAATAATTTATGCAAATCACATTCTCAGAACAAGTTGTGGTACAGTATGGAAAAAAAAAGCAAAAATCGCTGTAGCAATAAGGCATGTCCTTTTTAGTAACTATTACACTGCTTTATATTTTATACCTAGGTGTTTTATGTCTCTGTGAGTATATACTTTTCATGTGTCTGAGAAAACTTGTACAATTTGTACAATGTTAAAAAAAATTACAGTTGCAATAACGGAAACGTAGTTAAGTGTTAGTTCTATATTACTTTGAAATGGAGACCTGATGTGAACTACCTTCTCCTCCCACTGTGTTTATCACTTGGAATTTTATTTTTGCATTCTCTATGCTTAATCAACATCTACCTTTCAAAACCGAGCTACCTTCTGTAGGAGAGATGAGCCGATCATGGCAAAGAAACACAGTCTACCTTTGAAATATGGAGGCAAGCCTCACACTACATTTGAGTTTCTATCAAAAAATCAGCTTGTGATCAAGTTTAGTGGGATTGAGGTGATGAGAGACTCTACCCTTCCTTTGCAGGTGCCTGGAAAATGAAACTCTCAAACTGAGAGTTGATTGATCAAGGCAGATGAGTTGAAAAATCATAGCTTTTATAATCCTCTTTGCAATGTATTGCAAAACGGTTTAACAAATCCAGAAATTTTGATTTGTCTTGTTGAAATCCACACTACTCAGAGCGAACAACTATTAAGTGCAATCAGTTTTCCCCACTTCATGTATGGCTATAATAATTATGAAATATTTCAATGCAATGTGCTCTGAGAATGTTTTCTCCCTCTGCAAAAAACTCCAAAGCAAAAGATTTATAAATGGATTTACAGTTTAATCTCACAGCATATAAACTCTTCGCTGCCACTGGAGGCTAACAAGCTAAAGTAGTTTTTGATGTAGCTGAGATAACAAGGTGTAGAGCTGGATGAACACAGCAGGCCAAGCAGCATTAGAGAAGCAGGAAAGCTGACGTTTCGGGTCTAGACCTTTCTTCAGAAAAAATGTAGTTGGTTGTGTTTCAACTCACTGATCCAGACCAGGAGTTCAGCGGTCTTCCAGGGGTAAAAATTTTGTGTACCATGAGCTTGATTAAAGGCGGTCAGTCCAGAAGCACCTATATGTTAATGGTTACAGAGATAGTAGGAACCTATATGTTAATAGTGCTGTTCTATGTTGGGCTTTTAAGTTACTTGCAGAGATATAACAGATGAGCTTTGAGCATTGACTATGCTACACGTGATCAGAGTGTGTTCAACACTCTCTTTCTATGACTGTAATAGCAGAATGGGAACTGTATCTCCAGACATTGAGGAATGCAAGAAGAATTCTGATTTCAGTACAGGGTATAAACATCTTCTGGTGGACAAGCACTTTACCATTTATTTAAGAAAGGTGCTTTGGATCAGATGATCTGTGCTGAAGAAGATGGAAAAGACATCGTGTCAATAATTATACGATTATATTTTTTCAACATTCTCGATGAGTTGAATGAATGAATCTCTATACTATGGGACTCTGATATTTTTGGAATAATCTATTGGTCTTTGGCACTCTCTATATCAGCAACGAAGGAACCGTTTGTCTTTCAGGAAGACTGTACTTGCTCAAAATGATTCTCACTCACTCACAAGCCCTCTTGGAAATCAGATAATATTCATCTCTTAGTTTAAGCAGTCATCTCTTTCTAAGAGGACATTGATCTTTTAAAAAAAGTTCATGAAGTTTTGTTGCAAAGAACTTTTTCAAATGATCATTAGTTTATTGGTTGGTTATGTGAATTAATTTTTTTAGAGATTATTTGAAGTCACCCACAGGAGGGACCACCCTTCAGGAATGTTGGTCACCTCTTGCTCCTTTTGGCCATTTGAGCTACTCTTCCATGGAGACTGCTTGTTGTCAGCCTATAGGGCTCTTGTGTAATACTAGTGTCCCTATCTATGGGGCCAGGAGGCCTGGGTTCAAGCCCCAGAGGTGTATCATAATGTGTCTGAATAAGTTAGATTGGAAAATATCTATAGAAGGATCCAGATGTTTTGATGGGAAAATCTTTCAAACTTTCTATGGTACAAAAGTAAGCATTAATATCCAATGATGTAAGTATTTTCAATTCTTCATGAAATGAACAAGCATTTTTTTTTCCTTGCCAGTATCAACCACATTCCAAGATTTTTTTTAAAAACAGTGAATGTGGCTGCTTTATACAACTGCATTTTACCAGTAGAAATGTGTTAATAAGCAGTAACAAATTAACCACCGGAAAGTGCAAAGTGGATAATAGGGTTGTTAAATTTGTAGCAAGATATGGTGCCAAAATAGTATTTGGCCCCTCACTGTACAAGCTGGATGTTAAGAGTGTTGTCTTGGAAGCAAGACCCAAAGTGTGCTTGAAATTTGCTGAAACATTGTCGAAACCTAACCTTCTCTTGGGAAATAAGGCAGGTAAGTGACTGAAGTGTAGTAAGGGAATACTTTGGAACAAGTGATCATAATTCTATTTATTTTAAAATAGTTATGGAAAAGGATAAGCCTTTTGTAAAAGTTAGCGTTATTAAAGTAAGGCAAACTTTAATGATATGAGATAACTTTCACAAGTTGGTTGGAGTAGACTGTTCACAGGTAAAGAGATGACTGACAAGTGGGAGTCTTTCAAAAGTTTGGTAACAATAGTTCAGAGGCATTGTGTTCCTGTTAGAGTGAAAGGTAAGGCTGGTAAGATTAGGGAACAATGGATGAATAAAGATTTTGAGGTTCTAGTCAAGATTTAAAAAGAATCAGAAATTAAGTATAGATAGCTGGGATTAAATGAATCCCTTGAAGAGTATAAAGAGTGTAGGAGCGTTCTTAAAAGGGAATTCAGGAAGGCAAAGGGGGGAATATGAGATAGACTTGGCAGATAAGGTTAAGGATAATTCAAAGAGATTCAACATACATTAAGAGCTAGAGAGAACTAGAGAAAGAGGATGGCCCCTTAAAGATCAACAATGTTGTCTCTGTATTGAACGTCAGGTGATGGCAGAGATATTAAATGAATATTTTGCATCAGTTTTTGCGTTCGAGAAAGAAGAGGTGAGAGAACTCAAGGAAGGGTTGACATTGCAGAAGAGCAAGTGCTGGAGGTCTTAGAAAACATAAATGTGGATAAATTTCTAGCACCTGAGCAAGTGTATCCCAAGATATTGTGAGAAGTTAGGGAGAAGATTGCAGGCCCCTAACGGAAAGATTTGTATCATCTATAACCATGGGTGAGGTGCCTTTATTTAAGGAGAAGCCTGGGAACTATAGACCTGTGAGTCTGACATCAGTAGTGGGTACGTTGCTGCAGGTGATCCTAAAAGATAGGATTTACATGCATTTAGAGAGACAAGGATTGATTAGGGATAGTCAGTATGGTCTTGTGCAAGGGAAATTGTGTGATTGTTTTTTATTGAGGAAGTAACCGAAAAGATTGATAAGGGCAGAGCAATAAACTTTGTTTACTTAGACTGTACTAAAGCCTTTGATATGGTTCTGCATGTTAGACTAATTAGTAAAGTTGGATCACATGGGATTCAGGGTGTGCTTGCCAGTTGGATACAAAATTGTTTTTTTTTTGTCATCTATATAAATGGTTTGCATGAGAATATAGGAGCATGGTTAGCAAGTTTGTGGATGAGACCAAAATTGGTGGTATAGTCGACAGTGTGGAAAGTCATCTAAGATTACAAAGGAATGTTGATCAATTGGGTCAATGGGCTGAGGAGTGGCAAATAGAGTTTAATTTGGAAAAATGCAAGGTATTCCATTTTGGTAAAACAAACAAGGGCAGGACTTACACAGTAGGGCTTTGGCTAGTGTCGTCGAACAGAGCGATCTAGAGGTTCAGGTATATAATTCTTCGAAGTTTGCATCACATGTAGATAGGGTAGTTAAAAAGATATTTGACATCTCTTGCCTTCATTGCACAGACTTCTGAGTATAGGTATAGGAGTTGGGATGTCATGTTGAAGTTGTACAGGATGTTGGTGAGGCCTCTTCTGGAGTATTGTGTGCAATTCTGGTCGCCTTGTTATAGGAAGGATATTATTATTAAGCTGGAGGGCTTCAGAAAATACTTACCAGGATGTTGCTGGGATTGGAGGGTTTGAACTATAAAAATACATTGGATAGCCTGGGACTATTTTCACTGGAGCGTAGGAGGTCAAGGGGTGAACTTATTGAGATTTATAAAATCATGACAATTCTAGATAAGGTGAATAGCAAAAGTTATCTCCCTAAGATGGGGGAGTTCAAAGCTAGAGGATGTGTTTTTAAGGTGAGAAGAGAAAGATTAAAAAAGGGGTGACTTCTTTACACAGAGAGCAGTTAGTGTATGCAATGAACTGCCAGAGGAAGTGGTAGATGGAGGTACAGTTACAGAGATGTTTGGATAAGTATATGAATAGGAAAGGTTTGGAGGGATATGGGCAGGCAGGTGCGACTAATTTAGTTTGGGAACTTGGATGCAGTAGACTAGTTGGACGAAGGGTCCATTTCTATGCTGTATAACTAAAATGTTGCATCTATTCTGTGGTGCTAAATTGGAATTTCTTATTGCATTCTGGAAGTGGGCAGGGGGAGAGAGGTGTTAAGTGGGGCAGCAGGGCTGTGTGATGAATGTTGTTCAGAATTTCCTTGCCTTGAACCAACATGTAGATGTTGAATTAGTCTCAGGAGCGTGCCTACAATTCTGATGCCTTGTAGCCTGTTCAGCTCTCTGGCCATGTTTTCTTCAAGTTTAAACTTAATCCAGGGTACCAGCAGAGAGGAAGAAGCTAGTGCTAACTTTCCAATCTGAAGAAGCTACCTTTGCGCACTGGTTGTTGATCACTGCTGTCTTTCCATCCTTCTGCCCCAGACACCAGGTTCTCTTCAAAAAGCAGTGTTGTGCAGTAACTGCCCATATGTCATAGTCCATGTACTGTACGAGAATTGAGGTGAATG